TGATCAGCCATGGAGCTGTTGTGGTGGCTAGGCGAGAGCAAAGCTGTAACGGGGTCGCTGCGAGCCATCTGCTGGAGGACAGTGATAAAGAATCGAATTTGAACCTGCGTGGATTCCTGTAGCAGACTGTACAGCGCAGCGGTACGCTCGGCCTCGGAGAGGACACGAAACCACTGCTCGATCGCGCTGAGTTCCTCTTTGAAGTTCTGGTCGAGCGAGGCAGCTGCCATCTCTTCTAGAGTGGCTTCATAGTGCTGCAGATCCTCGAACCAGCGATCAATAGCTTCGGTTTCGGGGGTACCGTGGTGGCTCATGTTGGGGAGCATCTCGGAGCTGGGACGCAGGTTGCGTGAGGCAGGTGTACCGGACATGGCAGCCGTACCGCCCATGGAAGGACTACGAATGGCACTGTCGTGTCCAGCGTTGGCTTGCTGAGCAAGACGCATCATGTGCTCGGTGGAGGCGCCCTTGCCGAGTGAGTATCGGCTGTGAGGGTTCATAGTGCTGGGACGGTTTCCAGAAGGAGAGCTGACGCGATTGATCGAGGTGTTGGAAGGCGTCAGAGGAGATCGCAGGAGGCCAAAGTCGGACATTACTGCGCCATTGCAAGCATACGCGGTAGCGTGCAATGAAGCCAGGGATGTGGGTGATGTTTGTCCGAGCACATGGAAGAAAGAGTGGGACCGAGTGTGCAACCATAAGGCAAGTCGGTATGGGAAGTGCAAGCGTGTGTATGAACAAGAGAATGTGGGCGCGTTTGAAGAAAGTGTAGGTACAAGGATGCATCAGCCATGTCGAACTTCATCTTAGTGCTCGACCCACGCGATCATGCTGCTAGCTGAACAATAAGCAAGATTGCGAGTTCGGAGGCCTGTACTCACCTTTTCAAGCAATACCACACAAATTTCGGAAGGAACGAGCTTTGCTGATGCGACTGGAAAGCACCTTGCGATGAGAAAAGTTTCGAGACGTTCGAGCCAGCAGAAGAGAGTGGGTTAAGTGGGAGGATGTTTTGTGGGCGGGGTATGTTGCGACAGAGATACGCTAGTGCTGCACTGTTGCCTGAAAAGTGCGTGCTTGGACGGTGCAGGGAGCTAGAGGTTTGTGTGGGAACGTGTTGCTTGCTTTTGGCTTAACTTTGTGTTTACAACTTTGGGTGGTCGATTGGGTGGTCGAGGGTGGAACCAGTTGATTACTTTTCAAAAGTAGTTTGCGTTCAAAGGGAGGAAGAGGTAGGATCCAAGGCGCTGACTGAGATGGAGGGCCACGAACGAGATGATGGGGTTGGAGACGTCTTGGTTGAGGTGTGACACCAATCGCACGACGGTTGCGGGCAAGGAAGGGGTGATTCAAGGGATTCTTCCGGAGTCAGTGCTTTCAAAGCCGTAAGACTACGAGATGGTCAGAAAGGGACGAGGATCAACCTGCGCAAGCGTTGAAGGAGGCAATGGAGGTAGGAGAGAAAAGGAAAGATACAAGAAGCGAGCGAGGAGGAAGGACAAAAGTCGAGGTCAAAGTCGCTGAAAGCTTAGCTCGAGCGTTTGTGTCAGTGTGTCAGTGTGTCAGTGTGTCAGTGTGTCAGTGTGTGTGTGCGTGTTTTTGTGTGGCGCTGAAGCCAAAAAGACTGATTAAGGGGAAAATGCCCAAGAATCAAGGCAACGAGCGGAATGCAGAGATGTGCACCAAAATGCGCCAAACCAAAAAGAAAAGCAAAAACAAAAACAAAAACAAAAACAAAAAAGCGCCTTGCAGATCCACACAGTAGTGCAGCTCAAATCCCGCTCGCTGTACAAATTTGTGCTTGTCTCTTGTCACTCTCTATACCTTTCTCTTTTTCCAGTAATTTAGAATCTGGAGTTGGCAGAGCTGGACTGAGAAAGTCAACACCAAAGAGGACTGCAGCTACTCCAAACGCGGGTGCAATTTCAGCATCGTGTTGCCGTAACTTGATGGGTGTCTGCCATTTAGCGCATTCGCCGTAAAGAATGCAGCACAGACGGTGAGCACAAAGTCATTTCATGAATTTCTTTCTATGGTAGACGCAAGATCTTGTTGCACCTCGCCTTCCCAGCCATCGATTTATGAAGCTCAGTTATGATGGCCTTGTTCCGGTGCTCACACGTTAAGGCACGAGAAATGTGAGGTACCAAGTCAGTTAGCTATGCAAACAGCAACTACAAAAATATGACGCGCGTCGGTCGCTTCGGTTAGCCACGCTGGCGGTGTGCTCCGACAACTTTAAATATGTGGTGTGATGGCTTGCTGGGCTCTGAGTCGGCTAGTAGTAGCGACTCACACTGTCACTCGTGCAAAACAGTACACCTCAGTCAGCTTGAATCTGTGAATCTCGCGCACGGCCCCTTGACTTTATGATGAATCGGCTGGCTCAATCATAGATCGGGTCACACTCCGCCATTGGATTGATGCCAAAACCAAAACCTTGCTCATCAGCTCTTCTATCACGATACCAGATACCAGCATGTTTGGCTTTGAGGAATCACTAGGGTATTGTTCGCTACAACAAGATGATTGTCAGATAGATACGGCATCGAAGAGTCAAGCAAACAAGTTGCCAAACAAAAGCATTCACCTTGGATCTGGCTATCGCTCAATCTTTTCAGACAAGCAGAGCACCACCCACGATCACGCCGAGAGCCGCAGTAAGACCAACAGCCAAAACATTGTCGGCACCAAGCATTGAAGCAGCACCGCTCTTGCTACCGCTGCCGCTCGAACCACCACTAGACTTGCTGCTCGATGTAGGCGAAGCCGCGGCCTCCTGGTTCCAAGTGTACGTCACTCCGCTCGCAGTCGGCGAAGCCACCGTCGCGCAATTGGATGAAGCAGGAGCAGTCACAGGTGTGGGCGTGACGCTCATACCCTGGCTGAACGTGTAGCTGCTGTTGTACACACCGATGGGCAGATCCGCATTCGCCTCGCAATTCGTGAATGCCTGAGGCTCATCGTAATCACCAGGCTGATTCCAAAGGCATCCCATGAGATCGTACGTGTTCTTGCAGTACTCATAGTTGGGGCAAATCCTCATGCAGAACACTGGGCTGCCAGGAATGTCACAAGCCCCCATGAACTGCGTAAAGTAGCTCCCATTGCGCATCGTGACACCCGCGGGGTTACCAATGCCTTCAGCTCCTTCCGAATCGTACTCGCCTCCGCAGTCGTTCGAACCGAGATTCATGATTTTGGGATCATAAGTGCCCGAAATCTGAACGTACTGAGGAGTACGGCGGAAATGAGCGGTCTTGATAAAGCCGTCCGGCATGGGACGAGTGCCGTTGGTGGGATCGGTACAGTACGCCACAGCGATGGCTTCAGCATCGACAAGATTCTCCGTCGTTGGGTCAGGGGGCATGAGCAGACAGAAGTCGCTGGCAGAGTTGATATAGATGGTTCGGCCCATGCCAGTGTACGAAGGTTGCGTGAGACCGTCAGATGACGCTTTGGGCGTCCAGCTGCCCAAAGTGGCGGTCTGCGTCACGCTGGGGGCGGGAGGGCCATCACCGCTGATCACCGAAACCGAAGTTTGGGCCTTGACGAAGCCGCACAGAAGAGCAGCTGTTGCTGCGATGAAGCTACCGGAGCGCATATTGAAAGGGTAGTCACAGTGATGACAATGTTGGTGTAGGGATGGCGGAGATGATGATGATGATGATGATAAAGATGATGTTGTCGTCGTTAGAAGCGGGAACAGGCAATGGCGCAAAGAGCTTCCGATGATATAGACGGGATGGACATGCTTTTGCTGCTCGCAATTGCTAGTAGATCATGCGGCTTCCCTGGTTGAGCTCGAGCACAAATGCAACACAGACAATACTGTGTACAACAAACTAGGACACGAGCTTGGGCCGGGCTGCACAGAAGCGTTTGACATGAGTGTCGCACCACCTTTAGATTCCGATCCAAGCTCGAGTTCATTGTCGGGTAACACCAATGCTCTGATTGATCGCCTACGTCAGGCAGTTGGACACACGACATACTGTCAAGTACTGTATAGTCCCATGCAGAGTCGATGCTATTTACGCCAAAGAGGGATGAAATGTGTTTCGCTTGAGGCTGAGAGCACAGGGCGCATCCCAGATCTTTCTTGAGAGCATCGCCACAGGGGCTCGAGCGGCCCAGAAACATAAGACAGATGGCGGATGACCGTTGGACCGTCGATTGAGCTCATCCGACCGACCGTTATGCCTTTCTGCCCACTTTGGACATGCGACTCCGAGGCGCTTCCCCTCTTCGACTTGCTTGTACAACATAGCCCTAAAAAGCCCGAAGTCGAACTTGGCACATTCACCAATCAGCGCACAGCTGTGTTGGAAGTGAGCGAGTGATCCGCAGCAGTCAGGTGCATTTTAATTGATATGCCTGACGTAAGTCCTTGGCATGAATTCGGTCATTTGCACAGAGACGCAGCGGGTAAGTGAGTTTAAAACTTGGTCGTGGGGATTCCAAGGCCGTGGGGATTCCAAGGCTGTCTTTGAACGCGCGCATGTGTCTTGCTTTTTGCTCGTGTATGTATGGGTGTGCTTGTCGAGTCTCTCCAGGGTACCTTTAGAACCGACATCTGAAACCCGCATTTTTTTTTAAAGCTGGACTACTACTTTTGGCCCAGTTCTAGAAGTGCCTTTCTTTCAGACGAGCCTCTCGCCTGTGTAACGGTGCTACAGTAATTCTTGCGGGAGAAAAGGTGTGGCTTTCACCTAGCCTCCTTCGTCCACCGCCTGCCAAAAACTCGCATCAGGCCGCCGATACCTTTTGGTTCGACCTGTCTTTGTCCGAGGCGACTTCCTGTTTCTTTACTACTTATTGCGTCCACGTCCAATCTGTCCACCATGTTTCGAGCGTGAATCTTATCAGCACGATATCCACTAAACAATTGTTCGTCGTAGCCCGCCCCCGGTCACATCGAGGGAAAAAATCTTCAAGCTCGGCATGATTTGTGACTGAGTAAAATACATATATGTTTCAATGATCAAACACAACAGAAAGACGCTTTGGTGGAGTGGTTAACACGTATCCCTGCTATTACGCTGGCAACCTGCATTCGCAGGGGTCAGGATATCCTCTCTGAGGGCGTGAGTTCGAATCTCACAGGCGTCGATTTTTTTCCTTCCTACTTTTCGATAGGGAGAGACCTCTCTGAAATCCAGATCGGTTGTCAGTTTGAAGTTTCATCAGGTGATTGTCGAAATAATCGTCGTCGAGTTTAGAGAATATAGGAGACCGAGATGGTGGAGTTGGGCGGGTGCTTGACATTTGAATTGGGATTGCTCCACCTAATGGATGAATTTACAAATTTTGTTAAAAAAAAAAAAATTTGGAGCGCCGTGTATGTGCTAGTAGGCGCGTCTTGGAAGACCGGTTTTGAATTTGTAGTGTTGGCTCTAGCAAATGGGATGGAACCAATTGAAAACTGTTGGACAAATTTGTACTTAGTGTAGCCAGATGATGAAGCTGATTTACAGAATTTACAGTAGACTGTGCAATAATTATTCAAAAATCTAATTTCTTCTCGAGCCTGGACTAATTGCTGAGTTGGAGGTGTGCACGCTTCACATGATGATGGCGGCAAGATAGGATCTCACCTTTGGGTCAACGACGTCGTAACTCTTTCATTTGACCTCTTGTTCGTCATCTTCACCTTACACCTTTTTTCCTTTCCCGATACCGCCCTAAGCGCTTTTGCAAAGGCAACTAGGCGCATCATCTATCATCCAACATGGCGCCCGCACCACAGACGAAGGAGACCCGTATCGCCATTGTCAACTCGGACAAGTGCAAGCCCAAGAAATGTCGTCAGGAATGTAAAAAGTCGTGCCCTGTCGTTCGTATGGGTCGACTTTGTATCGAAGTCACTCCGACCAGCAAGATTGCGTTCATCTCCGAGTCCCTATGCATCGGTTGTGGTATCTGCCCCAAAAAGTGTCCCTTCGAAGCCATCAACATTATCAAGTTACCCACCAATCTCGAGAACGAGACCACCCACAGATACAGCGCCAACTCTTTCAAATTGCATCGTCTTCCAACTCCACGTGCCGGTCAGGTGCTGGGTCTCGTAGGTACCAACGGTATCGGCAAGTCCACTGCGCTCAAGATCTTGGCTGGTAAGCAAAAGCCAAACCTCGGTCGTTACGATGACCCTCCCGACTGGCAGGAGATCCTAAAGTACTTCCGTGGTTCCGAATTGCAAAACTTCTTCACCAAGGTGCTCGAAGACAACATCAAGGCGCTCATCAAGCCTCAGTACGTCGACCACATCCCTCGTGCCATCAAAGGCAAGGCCAGTGTTACTCAGCTTCTCGACGGAAAGCTCGAAAGGGACAACAAGCAGATGGTCATCGACATGTTGGATCTCAACGAGGTACTCGAGCGTGACGTTCAACAACTCTCCGGTGGTGAGCTGCAGCGATTTGCTATAGGCATGTCTTGCATTCAGAACGCAAACGTATACATGTTCGACGAGCCCTCGTCGTACCTCGATGTCAAGCAGCGTCTCAATGCCGCTCGAATGATCCGATCTCTCCTCGATTCCAACACCTACGTCATTGCCGTCGAGCACGACTTGTCCGTGCTCGATTACCTTTCCGACTTCATTTGCTGTCTTTACGGTGTTCCGTCGGTCTACGGTGTCGTCACGGTTCCCTCGCCCGTTCGTGATGGTATCAACATCTTCCTCGACGGCTACATTCCCGCTGAAAACATGCGTTTCCGTGAAGAGTCGCTCTCTTTCAAGATCGCCGAGACTGCCGAAGATGAAGTTCTCGATCGAACACCCAAGTACGTCTGCCCACCCATGACCAAGACTCTCGGCAACTTCAGCCTCAGCATCGAAGGTGGTGAATTCAGCGATTCCGAAATCATCGTCTTCCTCGGTGAGAACGGTACAGGCAAGACCACCTTTGTCAAGATGTTGGCAGGAAAGCTCGAACCCGATCCGGGTGCCAAGAAGCCTCCTCAGCTCAATGTTTCGCTCAAACCACAGACGATCGCTCCCAAGTTCCATGGCACCGTCCGAATGTTGTTGCTCAAGCAGATCAAGGCCGCATTTATGCACCCTCAGTTCCAGACCGATGTCGTCAAGCCCATGTCCATCGAGGCCATCATCGACAATGACGTCCAGACCCTTTCGGGTGGTGAGCTTCAGCGTGTCGCTTTGGTGCTCGCCCTCGGTAAGCCTGCGGATATCTACCTCATTGACGAGCCCTCGGCTTACCTAGACTCTGAGCAGCGTATTATTGCTTCCAGAGTCATTAAGCGCTTCATCATCCACTCGAGGAAGACGGCCATGATCATCGAGCACGACATCATCATGGCTACCTACTTGGCGGACCGTGTCATTGTCTACGAGGGTCAGCCATCGGTCAAGGCCACGGCAAAGCGACCCGAGGGCTTGTTGACGGGCATGAACAGCTTCTTGGCCGCTTTGGAGGTTTCGATGCGTCGTGATCCTACCAATTACCGCCCGCGTGTAAACAAGTTCAACTCGATCAAGGACAAGGAGCAGAAAGCGGCCGGTCAGTACTTCTTCCTCGAGGACTGAACCTGTTTTCACCGCACTACCTTGCTGCTCTCGCTCACTAAGTGTAGACGATATCAAAAAGAAGAAGTTGCTCAAGGCTCTGTGTCAGGCTTGGCCTGTTCGAGCACATTCATTTGCTCAACCCATTGAGCAACATGTCTTCCCCCTTAATTTCATCATGTACATATACCGACTTGGCATCACTCGCAATCCGCACTCTGATTGCATCTCAGGAGAACAGTGGGACATTGCTTCGAGTGGGTACTGTAGATTCTTGATGAGAAATGTGGTGGTCTTTAGTCAGAGAACAGTACGCAAGAATGCTGCTTGTGGTGGCGGCATGTGGGAAGGATGAAAAAGAAGGTGATACCTGAAAATGCATCTCGTCATTGATATCTGGGCGAGTGCGAGTTGGTTTTGCTTGTGCGTGGCCATGTATTGAAATGTTGCGTGATATGTGGAGAGGCCGAAAATGCCAGATCTAGGTTGATACGCAATTCTCCTCTGCCACCTTCGTCTCGTCTTGCTTGGGCTCCGCCTGGCGTTTGCGCTTCAAAGGGCTGCCGACAGGAGATACAGAGGGTCTGTCGCCATACACACCTAGAAGGTACTTAGAGATTTTGCGGCTCCACTGCTTCGAGTACTGACGAACAAGAAATAACAAGCACGCATGATACAACTTGAGATGCTGTCAGCGTCTTGGATGCCTCCTTTCGACCTACATCCCAATCTACATATAGTACAGTACAGTGATTACAGCTTGTTTGTTGCGAAGCGGACAGCCCTCTCTAACGAGTGCATCCGCCAGATTGTCGAACAGGTTACTGCAGTCGGCATGCTTGATTATGTGCTGAACGATCAGGAAGCGCCCCTTGTCGTTCCAAGGCTCACTGGGCTTGGCCAACGTCTCGGAATTGGTCTTGCTCATCGTGTCGGGTGACGATGCGACGAACAGGTACGAAAGTGATGAGCTTGTTGGCGAGTTCTAGGGAGACACGTACGCAAAATACTATCGAGATAGCTTTCTTGTTGTCCGATGGGGAGATGCATACGTTGATAAGGTGCGCATCTGGATTGAGTGGCGAGCAGGAATGTTCGAATGTAAAGGAGATTCGACGGGGAGCGGTAACGTCCAGGTGGCTCGGTAGTGGTCAAAAGGCGGCGTACTTATGTGTTCTTTCAACCCCTTATGGACATACAAAGGAGGGTCTGGTGCAAGTGGAAAGGGTTTTCTGTGCTCACCCTCGGCAGTCTGGTTCCGCATCCAGCAGAAGCTTTCAGGCTGAGTCCCAATCAACTCATGCGAGCTTTCAAGTAGCCTCTCCGCTTCAGTGTGGAGTGAAACAGATATTTGACTAGCCTCGTAACAGCACAGTCACAAAGCTTTCGCTTGAGCTCATCACGATGAACAAAACAAATGACAGCTTCAGCTGGTTCTTCGACCAAGCTTGCAGCGGAACAAAGGGTATCACAATGTTCGTCATGTGAGATCTGAGAGCCGTGAGAATACGCGGTGCAACGGCAGAACGATAACAATCCAGATTCTCGGCTCTGAAAGCTTCTTCTCAGATAGGCTCATACGCACCACGCCCACCAGCGCCGCTGAATCCACCTCCACCGCGATTACCTGACACCGTCTGCCACACGTGTGAGGCAGCATCGCGGGCGAGGTACGGCGACTCCCTCCAAAAGTCCTTATGTGGTACGAGATCCCAGCCGCTCGCTCCGTAATTGTTGTAGTTATTGTACATGCCTACACCCATATACCCAGCAAATCCGACACAGAGCAGGAAGAACAACCAGCTGAAGAAGCCCCATCCGCCCTCTTCGTCCTCTCGACTGCTATCGCTGTCCTTCTCGTCATTGTCTTCTTTGCCACCCTTTGACGGACTCTCACCATCCTGAGGCTTGTTCGCGGCGGACGAGCAAGCAAACTTGGTCGGCCATCTGAGCTTGAGTTTCCCGTCCGCCCTGTCATAGCTTCTCGCCGTCGGATGCGAGTCGGCCTCTGCTTTTGAATCGCAAACAAGCTCAACCTCCGACTTTTGCTCCCTTCCAGCGTATGTTGCACCTTGCAGGGTAAGCTCGATACTCTTCTCTCCGCCTTCAAGCTCCTCGCCCCACTCAACTTTGGCATCGATCTTGCTCCCTCCTGATTCGCCCGAGTACGCTACTGGAATGGCTTGGGTGACAATAGTTTTGTCGTCCTTGATCGTTTCGATGGTGATGCAGATCCTGGTTCCTCGAGGGCATTGATCTTTCTCGTCACGGTTGGGGTCTGCATCAAGCGGTTTACAAAGATCGATGTCGATGGTTGTCTTGGTTTCGGACGGCGGTGTCGATTCTTGGTTGGAGGTGCGGATGGGATAGGAGATCTTGGAAAGGTCGAATGATTGCTTGGACGAGACGGCGACGTTGCTGCAATCGAATGGCGAGAGCTTTTGCTTGGCAGCGATGGCGTCGGATTGCTGTGAGACGATGAGCAGCAGAGATGCTGCGAGGAGGGCAAACCTACGACTCCCGCGCATTCTGTGTGGCTCAGTGGGAGAGCCCAGCATGTTTCGCAAACAAAACGGGATCC